TTCAAGCCGCTATGGCTGACGATTAAAGTCACGGTGGCTAGTGGGTGGGCGGTTAGTGCCAACGTCACTGGTGGAAGGGCTGAGTGGGATGCGAGGCGAAAGCCTACTCCCCTTACCACCAGTGACATTGTCAGTAACCACCCGCTTCCAGCCATCGTGTTCTTTGAGATGTTCATTCCTCGGAGAAGCGGTAAAAAGGTCACGCCTGTAAGGGGACGAGTTTGTGGTGTTCGGTTGAACTACTAAGTTGTTTTCTTTTACCTTTTCCAAGCTGTAGACTGGCCTGGCCCATCTATGAGTTGCAAGTGAAATTATGGATTCCAAAATGCCAGTAAATGCAGGTTTGCTGAGTAACTATCCTCCGTTTAGAGATCAACCCTGGCGAGTCGGGCTGTACTCAGAACCGACAGTGTGAGGCTGTATGGCCAGGTGCATACTGTCGATCTGGAGAGTGTCGTTGTGCGAACAATCAGCCACCATTCAGGACCAGAGATGGCTTGGTAAGTGCTCAACGATAAAAAATCTGTAAGATATTAGTACGAAGGTTTAGGTCTGCTTAAATTACGGCTTTTGCCCGCTGAATGGTAACAATCCGAAGTTCCGTATTGAAAATCAAGTTCAGCAATGTTATGGAGGTTAGCGGCGTTCGGGGGTGGTGTTGCATCGGTTCGAACCGGGGCGATTTGGTCTGTCCGTGAGTTGAATGTTTGCAGGAGCTGACGCGACGTGCGAGGCTATTGGAGCTCTCGCCTATGATTGTGTTTGTGACTCGGATGACTGTACCGTGAACAATCCGATCAGTTTCTGTTGTCCAAGCAGAGGTTTGTTCATGAACTACGTGGGACTTGCGGCTTCTGTAGCATCTGCCTGAATAATTAGTATACTGTAGGCTATGAAGCATGAGCTACCATTTTGTAGCTTGCAAAGCAAATTATTCGGCGCTGTTGGCTTGGCGGGGGTATTTTCGTTCTTCTATCGGTTACTGTCAGTGCTTCCTGTGGAAGCCTGTGAATTCCTATAGAGCTATGCAATAACATAAGCTTCGTTTACACTTGACAAGAGTCTACAGGTCTCATCAAGGTGAGACGTGTAATGTAGTAGGAACTAGCAAAAGAAATTAGCGGAAGTGAAGTGTGACGTCCCCTCTACCGTAACCCGAACAGCACCCTAATTTTGAAAGGTTGGCTCTGATATGTCCATATGAGAGGTTGAAAGGGTCCGAATGCAGTTTTTATTTTTCTTTTGACATACAGTCATTATAACTGAGATTAATCGGGCGTGTCAGCAGTACAGGGGTTTTGGCACGATGCCAGCCACTTTTCCACCACTTACTGAACGCAGCAAGTCGCAACGATGGAACACAGGCGG